GGTAGATAAAACTTTTTCTTCTACCAATTACTAAACAGTGTAGATTATGAAATTCTGCATCTCTTAGAGGGAAGTATTTGAATTTCTGAAGCACACAAAAATCAAATCATTTAAATTATGCCTATTTCATATTCTGAGTGCATTCATTTGCAATTAGCTTTGTCAGGCATTTTTCTTTCATTTAATTTCATCATCATCAAGTAAGTATTTATTAAGCACAAACCTGGCTAATTAATTTTCTAGAGAATAACAGGTATTCTTAAATTCATTCTCTCTATTTAAGAGCCCTTAAATAATCTACCTGATACACAACATTTTTCCCTTAGCAAAAACTGTCTTTAAATTTTAATTTTTACCTTATTATTTCAAGGTTTCCACAGGACACATTTCAGTCCCAAACTCAGTCTTAATCCGAATTTAAAAAAAAAAAAAGTCATACTGTGAGATTTCTGTTTTTACCGCATGTTAATATTCTACCTCAATTTTTAAAAATAGCACTATTCAAGTTATATATTTCTTCTAAAAGTGATTCATTTTGAAGGTAAAAAATAAGCACCTGAAGTTAGTATAGTCAACAGATATAAAAATGCATTTTCTCCAAAAAACGTTTAACTAAGATAGTACATCAAAAGCAAAGCAAAAAAAAAAAGTCACTGATTTCAGAATTCAAAATGTTTACCAAATGAGAATGAAAATATCTCAGGTACTCAATCTGATAATCAAGATATTATGTGTACTCCTATGGAGAAAGAGAAAAGCTAATTTTTATATGGATTTTGAGAAAGAAGAGTATTTTTCTCAAGGTATATATTTTTAAATTGCAACAAAGACAATGTTTCTTGTCACTTAACAGTAACAACAACAGCACATTAACTTTGAATTCCAATCACAAAAGTGAAACCTTAGAACCCGTCCTTGTGGGGTACTAAGCTTCTCCTATTCCCAGCCCTTGGGTCATGAGCTCACACATGCACTTGTGTCTAGCAATATTGGTCTGGAAGCAACTGCCCTCTACTTCAGGAGCAAATACCCAAGAAGAATGGCAGAAACTGCAGTGAAGCTACAGGCACACAGAAATGCATGCTATTGTTTAAGCATATTAGTATCAATACTCCGAATGATCACTCTGCATGTCTCAAAGCAAGCTCAAAGGGATGCTTTGGAGGGGCCCACAGACAACCCTAGATGCAAAAGCAGTTTGAAATGCCAAATGCTGTGTTCTAATTGGGGCAGGAGACTGTTTCTGGGCTTTTTGATTGGAATTTAAATATTTAAGCTGTTAGCTAATTCTGAATAGAGTAAAAATATGATTTTGTTTGCCCTTAGACTGAGTGAGGGAGCCACTTCCAAGAGGGAATGCTAGGGTAGCTGGATGCTCTTACTTTCAAACGGAAATTTACTTCTCTATTAGAAATGACTCAAATAAAAGCTGAAATGATAGAAAGTAGTAGCCCGAAAGGTAAGGGCGGAAAAAAAGAGAAGCCTTCAATTACAGTCACAGTCATTCAGGGGTTTTATATCAGGCAAGAAGTAGCTACCTTTGTCTACACCAACTGAAGCCCCCAGGAGAATACAGCACACAGAATCCACAGGAAGAATTTGGTCATACTTTTCAAAGTAGTTTAGTTTTCAAAAACCCACCTTCCCTAAAGGGAAAAAAACACCTTGAGAACCAATTAGTGGTATAAAGGACCAGGAGAAAAAGACTGTGCTCTGGCAGAAAGATATTTTGTTGATTTCAGGTAAAAACCTGGGGCCAGATGCTCAAGCCCATGTTCCCCATGCATATCTCCCTTTTGCCCCAGGGGTATGCCGTCTGATACATTTGTATCTTCTGAATGGGGACAGGAATAAAGTCTCAAAACAATTTTTGTAAAACATAATCCTGAATCACAGAATAGGTGGCAATTTTCTGAGCAGTAACAGTGGATTATTGGAACAGTGGAAAGAGAATAGAAAAATGATTTCTTTTTTTCCTAATCAGATTTCTTGTGAGCAATGCTTAGTCCTCTACCCTTTACACTGCAAAAGTAAACAAGACAAATGGATACTAAACATTCACCATAAGGCTAAATTCATGATTGATGCTTCTTACTGTTTAAGATTAGCTATAAATATGCTGTCCAGTGGTTTTTAATGGTGTGATTGTCTGACTCAGCAGACCAACATCAGAAGGAAATTTACATAAATGGAAAGTGAAATCTTTCTGCAAGAACCAGGACTGTTAGAAACTGCTTAGGTAAGGAGATGCTCACTTTCACAAACATGGATATACATATTAAGCCAGCTCTCCAATATCTGCTTGAGTGTAAGTTACTGCCCATAAAAAAGCTAAGATGTTTGCTTTTAATTTCTAAAAATTCCTTTCAGCTTCAATTTTACTAGGAATAAATTCTTCAAATAGAACTGTCACCAGGAATAAGACTCATCCTCAAACACAGCACATACTTAGAGGGCTTGGCTAGGAATGACAAGCCTGATACAAGATAATTCCAGGGCAACAGGCCCTGATCTCCAGGAATAAGAATCGATCAGGAGAACCAACCTTCACCTCAGGGCAGCATAGCACAGGGTCTGAAGTCAGGCTGCCTGGGTTCAAATCTTAGCCTCAGCAATTCCTGGCTGCGTGACAGGCACATGGGCACGATGTGGAGAGGCACTAACCACTACAATTTTCAATTCCCCTTCGATGAAATGACGCGATAATAATCCAGTGTGAATGTAAAGAGTAAAATTAGAGAAGCCACCTGAGATACTTTTCATGCTGTCCAGCATGTATTTACACTAAGTGCAATGAATGTTATTTGCTTTTGTTGTTGTTATTGCTATTATTTCCCTTCTGCTCCTAATTCTGCATTCCTGAGCCAGATTGGAGAGTTTGATAGATTGGAGGATAGGCCGCAAATCATCATCCTTCTCGGTACCCACACTTTGATTCAGCTTTATCATGAGTGGATTATATTTCCTCATACCTTGGATTGACTTTGGATTCAAGCATATGACTTGTTTTGGTCAATGGGGTGTGTGTGTGTGTGTGTGTGTGTGTGTGTATATGTGTGTGGAGTTAGGCAGGATAGATAGCTGTTAGGACAGGAGGAGGGGAAGGGGGAATTTATCTCTTCCAATGAACAAAGGAATCAGTAGTCTTGGGACCTGTCAAGATAAAATCGCCAGATGTTCTCATCAATTCTGGGAAAAGCCACAATAATGGAAAAGGGGGACCTTGAAATCTAGGCTGTTGCCCAAGATATCTGGCAGGGAAACCTTGAAACCTATAGGGAGAAAAAATATAAAACTCTTGAACACCATTCCCCCAAGATGGGATGCTCAGACTGGCTGAGTTGCCCACTTGTGCTTTATGCCAAGTTCATTCTTAATAAATTTGTATGCCACTTGCTTTGCTTCAACACTGCTTCCTGTCACTCATCTGAATTCTTTCTCATGAGTGTGAAAGAAGCCGAGGAGGGAAAGCCCCCTCTGACTCTTGGCTCTCTGGTAACAAGTGACAGTGAGTCAGGGGGGATCCCTGAACGTATGAGGCTTCACGCATAGCTGTGGGTCTCTGACAACACATAGCATAGGGAGGATGTGCTGCAGCTAGCCTGCTAGTCCCAGACACAGGTGAAATGTGGGCAGCACAATTAGACTTGTCAACCTAGTGTGATAGAGACACTAGCCTGAATCTGAACCCCTCTAGCTGCACTGCAGAGTCATGAGGGTCATGAAGGAAATAAAGGCTTACTGATGTATATTAACAGAATTTTGTCATTATTTATTATACAACAAAAACTAACTGATCCAAGGAGTGCATTAAAGAACTATCTACCCACAATGCACTTCTTATTACCCCAGGAAAAAGATATTATTAGCTCAGTGTCTATGAAACAAAAGTGGCATGGTAAGTTGAAGAGGAGATATGTTCCAACAAAGCCAGGATTCTAGGACCAGGACTGCTCCCTGTAAACCCTAACTAGGCCTTCTTGGGCTTTGTGAGGAAGATGAGATATGTCATTCATATTAGCATCATTTAAAAATGGCTGACCTTTATTGAAAGTTTATCATAGGCAATGTGCTAGGCACTTTATATATTGTCTCTTTCTGTCCTCACAAGAGCACAGGAGGTAGGCACTACTAATTTTACTCTTTTCACAAATGAGGAAACTGAGGCATATTGAGGACAAGTAACCCGCCTACATTCACAGAGGGTGAGAGGAGCTAAGGCAGGATTCAAACTCAGGAAGTTTCATTGTCCGGCGTGAACTGATGAGCCCAAATGTACTTCCCTCTGTAAACGCTTTCTGCTATAATCACATGGTCTCTATTTATTTAACCTTTAGAAACCCTGTGGATTAGGGATTACTTGCTATTCCTTTTCTACAGATGAGAAGATGGGAACATAGCAGGACAAGTGCCTTGCTAGCCGGTGGTGAAACTGGATTTGAACACAGGCGTCTAGTTAACTACTCATCACGTCACGTTAACAGCTGCGATCACACTCCCAATACAATGCGAAGGGCAGAAGCATGTTCTTTCCTGTTTTGGGGGGAACTGCCAAGCTTCTCCAATGCACTCCCAGCACCAGGGTTGTCTTTAAGTATATACAATGTGATAAATGGCCTTTAGTTTATACCTCAATCACTCACGGGCTCCACGGAGCTTTCTTTCTGACAAGTGCAATTTTCTTATTTGCTGCCTTTACATTGACTTATTTGTGTAGTTCTGGTTGTGTATTTTTAGGCTCAAGTCTGTCAGGTTACGAATTTAGAGTAATTCTAACAGAGTAGTAAAATTAATGCAAGAAAGAAGGATGGGTTTGTAGAACATTCTCTAGGAAATGACATTAACCACTCAAAGTGTGAGAAGGGGGCCACTGCTGCCCAGATGTGGCAGGGAGCCAGAGTGGTCTCATGCCTTCGCACACCTTCCCGGTCCAGTCCTCAAGCACAAAACCACACCTCCAAGTACCTTCACGCCAACGAGCAAACACTTGTCTTACCCACCTTAAAAGCAGCACCTCCGTGGATGATGGATTTGATAAAAATCCCCAAGTCTGTTCCCGTCTCTCGAGATTTGTTCCCTTTCAAGCTCACCCCGAGACCAGCAGAACCAGAATCATTCAGGGGGATCTCGAAGGTGAGTTGATCAGTTGTTTCCGGAGAGAGAGCATGGCAGTCAGGTTCTCCTTTCTGTTGGGGAAATGCACATGAAAAGAGCAGAGGGAAGAAAGTAGGTTAATATTTGCACACTCATATGGCCAAACACAGATGCATTTGGTAAGACAGGGTGACTGGACCTCCAACAGCTGTACTCCTGCTCCCTCTGGGCGAAGGGTGGTCTTTCTCTCTGCAAGGGGCCACCACCACGTCCCTGCAGTGGCAGAAGAGTTTGGAGAATAATATTTGGTGATGGGAAGCACAGAGGATCCTTTGGCAAGGCAGAGCCATGTCACTGGAAACATTGCATAAGTACTTGGAAATTCAACAGAATATTCTCGATACTTAAAGAGGCTCGGCATTAGACTTAGGGAATCTTGGGCACCACCAAAGCCCTTAGAGGTAGTGTGGTTGTAACACCTTCATTGTACAGATGAAGAAACAGAGCTTAGTGTAGAAATATGCTAACACTTTGAAGAAATATCTGGCTTATATAATTTAAAACATATAATTTACTATGAAAAGCATTGCTATTGAGAGAGATTGTTAATAGGATACAGAGCATTGAAAAAAATAAAATGTTAACGTTATAGAGATTTGACTTATGATGGATATCACCGAATTAAATTTGACTTTGTCAAAACTCAGGCCTTAAGCATGGTTCTTTTGGTAGTATAACTGACTGGCAGTCTATTTCTGAGCCTAAACAAAAATGATAACACACAACAAATATTCATGTCCTCTTTAACAAATGACACCTAGCCATAAGAATAACTGTTCCAAAAAAAAAAAAAATACAGATTATGGTGGAAAAGGCACACTTAGGGTTCACGTATCCAGGGAGAAGCCCCCGGTTAATCCTATTTGCTCCCTAGTGACCAAATACACTGGTGGTAATAGGAAAGTGTGCCCACACTTTCCAGGTGCCCCTCTACATCCCTCCCAAGCTTGCAGAAAGGTGAAACTCTGCCACAGGGTTTAAAATTTGAAAATGAGATAGCCCTGGAAATGATCAACTCATTCTAGGTCGGTAGTTCCTTCCTCTCTATAATTATGTCTGGAGACTCTCATCTTAAGGTCACGTTGAGGGACTCTTATGCAAAATTACGTATTTTCAAAATTACTGTGAATGTCTGAATGTCAGTCACAAAATACTTACTATAAAATCAGAGGTAGCAAAGAACCCATAATTAAAACAGGATTAGGAGGTCTGATCATAGCCAGATCCATGAACTAGTGTGGCGTTTTCAACTCCTACCAAAATAGGGAAAACCCATGTCTCACTTTAAAGAAACAGTTCCTTCCTTTAATTTCATTGTAAATGAAGTTAGCTATAAAGATTTTGACAATAGGTAGTTTCAAAGAAATGAAATTTTATTAGTTAATTTAATAAACTTCTTACAGGTTAGTTCTTTTAACCAACCCATTTTATTATTATCTAAGAAAAAATCCCATTATTTGATTCAAACTTGCTCTCTTTTTTTTTTCCATTGGAATGTCAGAGTTAAATAATACATGTAAATTATTAGCCTTTATCTTTGTCTTCCAAAATGCCCTATTTAGAATCCATAACATTTCATAATCAGTTATGTTTCCAGGCCTCTCTGGGATTTGGTTAATTTAAGTCTAATAAAGTTCTACTGAATTAAAGTATACGTTAAAGAATAGCTGTTTTTACTAGAACTTTGAGAAAGAGAAAGACTAGAAAGCTGCTCTGGCTTTTTATCTACAGAGACAAAGAGACAGGAGGACAGCTCTGCTTGAGTAAAGCCTCCATTCAAGCCCCTTTACTCTATAGTCGAATCGGTTTTCTTTTGGCGACTGTTTAACTCTTAATAAGATCGACGACCACTATTGGTACTAGTACCTTTCATTAAGTATAGAAGTGGTAAAAACAAAATGGAAATTTGGTGAGAAGGATGGTTAACTTTTCATTTTACACTTAAAATGTATGTGTTTTAAGTCCCTGATAACTGAGAGCCAAATGTAACACCCACAACAAACCGGTGCCGATGGTACCTGGGTGGGTCTGCACTGAGCGCTCCGCACACAGCACTGCATTCACTCTCCGCATCAGGCTTCTGGTTACGATGGTGCACATTTCCAGATGAGGAACTGAGGTGCACAGCAGTCTGTAAGCACTGTGTGTGCACGTGTGTAAGCACCGTGTGTGCATGTGTGTACCGTGTGTGCATGTGTGCAAGCACCGTGTGCATATGAGAAAGCACTGTGTGTGCACATGTGTAAGTACCGTGTGTGCATGTGCAAGCACTGTGTGCGTATGTGTGCAAGCACCGTGTGTGCATGTGTGTAAGTATCCTGTATACAGTCCATAAGACTGGTCGGTGCTGGAGCTCTGTGGGGCCCAGGCAGTGTGGGGCCCATGCCAGACTAACTGCGACACTGTCTCAGCTCTGAGAACCGCCATGGTTTGGTCTCACCACAAGGAATTCCAAGGCAGATCTGACAGTGACAGTAAGATGCCATGCGATTTCACATTCTCCACCCAATTACAGTTATGTTTTATATCTCTCTTATGCTATACCAGGCTCAAGCCATAATTAGTGGTCTCTAATGAAAGCAAACTTCCCAATGGTGAAGGAAGTCATTACAGTAGTTAACACAGCAATTTCCTGTTAGAAATAAATGTCCCTTTACCTAATGTACAAAAAAAATCAATATACTGAATGCCTTCCTCCAATAATCTTGGCTCAACTAGTAACTCTAAAAATTAAACTCAATCTCGCCAGATAACACTTTGGAGCAGGATGGAAGGAGGTAAAAAGTCCTCATAAGGGCCTTAAATGCAGGACCTCAGTAATAGGATGAGCCCAAGGCAGGAGGACACCCAGACCTTAGACTCTGCCTGGCTTCCTGGCTTTCAGACGAGCTTTCCCACAGGAGTAGCCCTTGCTTTTTCCATGCAAGACATCCAGGGGTGGGGGGTGGGGGGGGATGGGGATCCAAAGAGGCAAGCCTGGCATAGTAAGGAAAATTGTATGAATGTCGTTTATTTCTCATGTTTTCACTCTCTCATACTTTGCCACCAGAAGCCATGTTTCCGGAATCTCAGCCCTTGATGCTCCCAGTGCAGGGCCCGGGGTGGATGCCCAGGGGCCCGACTGCCTGTGTCCAGGCCTAATCCTGGCACCTGCTCTGGGCCTGCCATACAGGATCCTCAACTCAGGCTTCATCGACCTCAGCACAACTGACATTTGGGACCTGCTAACTCTTTGTTGTAAGAGACTGTCCTATGTACTGTAGGATATTTAGCAGAATCCTGGCCACCACCCACTAGATGCTAGTAATAGCTCCTTCCCCTCTTGTGACAACCAAAAAGGCCTTTTGACACTGCTAAATGTCTTCTGGGGTCAATGCTACCGCCAGGTGAGAACCACGGCCCTGAACTGACAACTGCCAAATGCAGTCGAGGTTAAGGCCACCAGGATCCAGAGAGGCACTGGGACTGCAGAACTGCCTGTCCCTATGCTCCCAAGTCCCAGGAGGGGGTGGCAGGAAAAGCCCCTTCGACTGACTAGGTCTCAGGCTCATAGGTTCATGACCGACCACTCGGTTGGTTAGAATGAACTACTAGGGAATTCTGCACTTAGTTATGTCTGGTTTTATAGGTGCTAATTTTCAGAGGCAGAAATGTGATCTCTGTGGCATGAACAGAGTAGGAAAAGTGATAAATACTAAATTTACTGGTACACATGCAAAATACTACCTTTTTCTTACATAAGAATTGAGAAGAAAAATGTAGCCTGCAAGTGGTGTTTGTTAGGTTAGTTATGCTTACATGTATGTTTGATAGGTTACTCATGCTTACATGTATGTTGTATTGCACTCTTATTTATTAAGAATCACAGAATTATATAAAATAGTATTAACACAAAGACTTTTAATCATGTGAGATTATGATATGAAATTAAGCCCCAAAACTGATGTGTACAGTGTATTTCAGTTATATAACATATATACTTTATACACATACTCAGACACCTACTTGTCCACCTGTTACCTACCTGCCCTCCCTCCCGCCTCATCTATTTCTTTAGGAAAAAACTTGGTTATCTACTGGTAATGGAATATGGACCATTCTTATGCAGTAGTAAATATAAGTAGCATATATGCTATATATGTTCTTTTAAGACTATATATAATACATGGTGCGTATACATATTCTATAAACATATATATGTGTGTGTCTATGTGCCTGGTATACTTATAGCTCCTCTTAGAGTCGCCAATGATCTCCATGTTGCTCAGTACGATGGTCAACTCTCACCTTTCATCTTTCTTGTTCTGTAGAAGCATTAGACTCAATTGTTCAAGATCCCACTTCTTGAAATACTTCCTTCCTTTGGTCCCAGGACATGAATCTTTCATAGTTCACCTTCTACTTGACCGTCTGCTCCTTTTCAGTCCCCTTTGCAGTGTCTTTTTCATCTCACCAATCCCTAAATACTAGAACATCCTAGGAGTCAATCATCTGATCTTTGATTTTCTTTCCCATCCTTACTTCCTAGGTTACCACATCTAATTTCATGGTTTTAATTATCATTTACACACTCAGGAGTCACAAACTCATATCTCTACTCCTCTTCCCTAAACTGTGGACACATATAACCAATTTTCTAATGATCAACTCCATTAGGATTTTTACCTTGACATTACCATGGTCCAATAGCTCATTCCTTAAACTTGTTCCTCCTGAACAAGTAAATGGCAATTATATTCTTCCAGACAGTCAAGCAAGAGACCTCAATGCCATCATTGACTCCTTACTTCATACCCTACATCCAACCCTCAGCACCACCTCTAGGCTCTACCTTAAAACACAGACTCTGACCACTCTCACTATCTCAACCATTCTTCTTACATGGTCCTCTCTGTGATAGCGCCTCCTTTCTGCCTGCTGGCTTCCACTGTCTCCTCTTTGGGTTACTCCTCAACACAGCAGCCAGAGTGGCCCTAGTAAACCAAATACTCAAAATCTTCCAGTGATTTTCCACCTCATTCAAAGAAAAACC